CGTCATTAGTTCTCGAAAGCACTTTGTTCATTCTTAAGGCCGTCGCACCACTCCGGGTCCTTCCAACCTCTTTCCAGAAGAGTTTGGAGTTCTCCTTAAAGTTGTGCGACAACCTTTCGTCCGCTTCCATTCTACACCTTTCACGCACTTCCTCAATCAGTGCTTTCGTGTGAACTTTCTGCAGCCTATATCTTTCTTTCATCTTCTCTCTCATATCCTTATCATTACTAGAGGCCAAGTAGTCTAACCATGCTTTCTTCTTCTTCTTTACAGCTTCTTTCACTTCATCATTCCACCATGCATCTCTTCTTTTACTACTGCCTCTTTTTATTGTTCCACACACTTCTTCCGCTGCACTTACCATTCCATCCCTAAGGTTCTGCCAAGTTCTTTCTACACATTCTTTTCTGCCATCGATGGTGTCAAGCTTTTCGGCTACCCTCGCTTGATATTTGTCCCTAGTATCCGCTTCCTGAAGCTTCCAGCTTCGGATGCGACAGACCGACTGTGGTTCTGTTACTGCCGTCCGGTAGCGCCAACCCGCGAACAGACCCCTAAATCTAGTAATCACTAGATAGTGATCCGTTTCCAGGTCAGCACCCCTGAACACTCGCGTATCCATCACCTGTTTTCGCAGTCGGTCATCCACCAGGAACAAATCAATCATACTTCTCTCATTCTTTCGTTCTCTAGTATACATATGGATTTTCTTGTGATTAAACATAGTGTTTGTCACAAGAAGACCCTTTTCCTTGCACACCGCCAGTATAAGCTTGCCAGCATCATTAACCCTTTTATCGCCAAACTTTCCAAGTACCGACTCGTACCCTGGTCGAGCGGTACCAACCCATCCATTCAAATCACCACATACAACAATTCTTTCGTTTCCCCTAGCTAAATCTAGAACTTCTCTTACATTCTCCCAAAACTCCTCCAGCTCAGCCCTGGACGACGAAGCTACCGGCGCATAAACAGCCAAAAGGAATAACTTCGTCAGTCCCAATTTAGCTTGAAGCTTAGGAGATTTCCCTTTGCTGCGAACTGGATTGTGTAACCACACTAGTGAACCTTCGTCAAACCCTTTGTTGTTCATTTTGCGGTCATACCGTGTTTTCATCTTCTCAGAAGTTTGCTGGCCCGACTGTCTGACGTGCTCATAAATGTCATTCATTTTGTTCCGCAAGTAATTTGCATAATCGACTATACTGCGTGGGGCATCAGGTGGTATTCCGGTGATCAGGTCTGCAGGGAGCCGTAATTCTCTCCCAAAGTTTGCGAAAGCTGGCGTCACTGATGTACTTTCGTGAACAGCGCTTCGATATGACAACAAAAACGGTTGTATGTGCCTGTCCCAGTCTCATTGCCGTTTTTCCACAACTTTTGCCAGGTACCTCTCCAATGTTTGATTAAATCGTTCTACCATTCCATCAAATTGTGGGTGGTAAGAAGTTGTTCTTGTTTTATGAGTACCCATAACTCGGCAAATTTCTTGGAATATTTGAGACTCAAGATTCCTTTGTAGATCGCTGTTAATCTCTAAAGGTACTCCAAAACGACAGAAGACTTCATAAAATAGTTTATTTGCAACTGTTGAAGCTTCTTGATTTGTAATGACGAAGACTTCTGGCCACGTAGTGAAGTAATCCATCACAACCATGAAATACTTGTTACCGCTTTCACTTTCCAGAAACGGCCCTGCAACGTCAATGGCTATCCTCTCCCATGGTGCACCAACATTGTACAATTTCAATGCACCTCTACTACGAGTTTGAGGTCCCTTTACAGCCGCACAACTTGTACATTTGCGGCACCAGTCCTCGACATCGTCACGACAGTGGACACAGTAAAACCGTTCTCGGATCTTCAGTAGAGTTCGTTTAACTCCCAGGTGGCCTCCTGAACAACCATTATGGTACAGCTGTAGAACATCCAGTACTTTAGCCATAGGGACAACCATTTGCAAATGACAACTGTCTCCGAGAACATTTTCCCATTTACGGCACAGGACTCCATCCTGAATCAGCAAGCTGTCCCATTGGGCCCAATAGCTTTTCGTGGCCGAACTCATCGTTGAGACGTCGCTCGACTTGGGCTTAGGAGCACTGGTCTTCATCTATTCCAGAATCAGCTTAATGTCTGAATCTTCCTGCTGTGCATGTTGTAGGCTGTCCTTCCACTCATTGCTGAGCTGGTCTGTCCTGAGCATCCTCACAGATACCACTTCCTTACCCTCTTGCCTAATACAATGCTTGCAATCTTCAGGGCAAGGTCTTCTTGACAATGCATCTGCATTGCCATGAGATTACCCGCTGCGATGTTCGATTACAAAGTCATATTCCTATAGTAGTTCAATCCATCTCGCAACTTGTCCTTCCGGATTTTTGAACTGCAATAGCCATTTCAGTGCAGCATGGTCAGTTCGTAAGTGAAATTTCGACCCCAGAAGATTTTTTTTATAGGATAAGGGTGACAAACGAGCACACAGTCCACCTGATGGTAAGTGGTTGCTGTGGCCCATAGACATCTACATTTATCCTTGATTACGAATCAAAATGCAGATGCGTTGTCACCCGTGAGGACTAAGATTGAATGACTCGTTTCCAGTAAAAGGGTCTCCGGTTCTCTACACTCACCATACGAAACACAGCAGCATTAAGCTGCTATTTTATGCTGGTATTCTGTGAGAGCGTGGTCTTTCCCCGGCCGAGCCGACCCATTCGTGTTACAACTGTACCAGAATTATAGCTGCAGCATGGCTCTACCACGTATAAAATTATTTTATATTATATTGCGTATATTTGCTAAAATGCTGCAAGGACTATAATACAGCAAGCATTTCCCGTCTTACGCTGCAATAGTTCCTTTCCGGCTTTGACAACGACTTGCTGAAGTACGCTATCACAACCTCTTGATCACCATTCCGTTGAGACAACACACCGCCAAATCCTATATCACTTGCGTCTGTGTCAACTATAAATTCCTTGTCCGCATCAGGGTACCCCAAAATAGGTGTTTTGCACAGACGGTCCTTGAGCTCCTGGAATGCGATATCGCAACTTTCAACCCAGCAGAAATGGAACATTTTTATAATCACAGATTTTTATTACAATATTTTGTTTCGCTAAAAGCACGCAGGATTTATATATAAATATACTTATACCTCTTGGACTTTATAGACCTGAAGGTGTGTCGGTATCTGCTACTGGAACTCCTCGACGAGGAGAACTAGATGTGCCGAGTTTGGGCTCGTTTTGTTAGTTATGATGAGACCTTACCTCCGGACTTGATAGAGTGACTTGAAAGTGTACTTTCATAACTGCTACTGGAACTCCTCGACCAGGAGAACTAGATGTGCCGATTAAATGAAACTAATTTTTACCAATGTTATCGCGTTTAATTTAACTCCTCAAACACCTCAATCCCCCCCCCCCGTGACCATGGGTGCTGTAAAGCACCCTAAACGTCGGAAATTAAAAAGTTAAATTAAACGCGGTAAAATTCGTAAAAATTAGTTTCATTTAACGTGTAGTCTTCGCATAAATATAAGAAATCATTAGATGTGTCGAGTTTGGCTTCGTTATGTTAGTTATGATGAGACCTTACCTCCGGACTTGATAGAGTTTTTCTTTTTTTTTTTATAGGATAAGGTGACAAACGAGCACATAGTCCACCTGATGGTAAGTGTTTACTGTGACCCATAGACATCTACATCTATCCTCAATAAAGACTCAAGATGCAGATGCGTTGTCGCCCGTGAGGACTAAGATCGAATGCCTCTTTGCCAGTGAAAAGGGTCTCCGGTTATCTACACTTACCATACGAAACACAGCAGCGTTAAGCTGCTATTTTACGCTGGTTTTCTGTGAGAGCGTGGTCCTTCCCCGGTCGAGCCGACCCATTCGTGCTACAACTATACTACTAATATAGCTGCAGCATGGCTCTACCACGTAATAATATTTAAAATATGTACAACCAGAGTGACTTGAAATGTGTACTTTGAAGACTGCTACTGGAACTGCTCGACAAGAAGATCTGGATGTGCCGAGTTTGGGCTCGTTTTATTAGTTATGATGAGACCTTACCACCGGACATGATAGTGACTTGAAAGTGTACTTTGATTACTGCTACTGGAACTCCTCGACGAGAAGAACTAGATGAGCCGAGTTTGGTCTCGTTTTGTTAGTTATGATGAGACTTTACCTCCGGACTTGATAGAGTGACTTGAAAGTGTACTTTGATGACTTTTTTTTGATAATAGAATAGATCTTACCTCCGGACTTGACGGACTGACTTCAAGGTGTACTTCGTTGACTGCTACTGGAACTCATTGACCAATAGAACTACAATTTACAAATTTTTTATTTTCACTATCATGGGGCATTGTGAGTCGTGCACTTTTGGATTTTCCAAACTATTTTTAATTGAAGTTTGATATAAAGATATCAGAAAATTTGAAGTATAGTTATACGGTTATTACTGAAAACTTGTGTGTATTTAAACTACTTAAAAAAATAAGTATAATACGTATAGTTAAATACGTAATTTTTTAATGCGCTTAAGGCATGCACAATTGGATTTACAAATAGTTTATTTTATTATTATTATCGTAACACGTTTGTATGAAACTTTGTTTCTGGCCGGTACAGTTTCTTTACTCGTGTGCCTCCAGCCCGCCGATAGGCCATGTTGCTCTATCAGGCTATTTACCTGTTTACTTACTAACGTAGAACCTCCTTAGTATTAATTAAAGCTGCTAAAACGTAGTGATCAAAGAGAATATAATCACTACGTTGAGTAGTGATTATATACTCTTTGGTTGTACATATTTTAAATAAGGTAAGGTGTCAGTGGGTGTCAGTATTTTACATGTGACGTCTAAAATCCTCATTTAAGATTAAATAAAATAATAATAACGTTCAAAGTACATATATCTAATATTTTGTTACGCTTCTATAATTATTAGAGAGGAATATTGAAGTATTCCTGTTTTATCACACGCGATGGATTCCCAGAGAACAACTGTAACACGCCTTAATAGTTCATTAACATTAACAAAAAAACCTCTGTTTGAAGATAAGCGATCATATTATGATATGCCACCCAGGGTAGGCAGATATTCGTCATTAGCTCTAGGAAGTGAGTCTGGGGTATCCATAATAAATAGACCCAAAGGATCGGTACAGAAAGAAATTGTCACATATATGTTTGCATCTATGTTAAACAATATCGTTGAATCTTGGGAGATTATAGGTCAAGGAAAGACAGAAGAGAATTATCTAAACAAAGAATTCGGAAAGATATCCGAAAGTTTTATATTTCCGTCCAAGAAGAAAAAACCTGTGGGTTAGTTATATATCACGATTATAATTATGTAAAGTCAATAATTAATAAAAAGGTATAACTATAGACATGCGATACTAGCGTACGGGTATGGGAGGGATGTGGGGGGAGGGGAGGGTTCAGGGGAAGACCCCCCTACCCTTACCCTTACTCTTAGTTTTTTTGTAAATTTATAACCTCACTTTTTTGCACAGGAATGTTGACACAAAGTTATTTCTGCAACTGCTTCCGCGCTGCGGGAAGTGCAGGCCTTTCGCCCTTGCGTTGTAAGTCACAGACACCCATGCTCACCTCCGCAGCTTCAGCTTACCTGCGATTTGTTACAGCGGGCGGGGGCTGCTCTCCCTCCGCGCCTACGGCTTTACAAAAATACTCTAGGAGTAGGGCAGATAAGACTACGTGGAGTCGGGGCGTTCTGAATAGGTTTTAGTACAGATTCGACCTATCTTTAAAGTCAGGTTACCCTGAACTGCTATGATAGTAGTAAATGAAACAATGTAATGTGAATTGTTATAAGTAATTTTGTTTTCTGAAAAACATCTTGACAGTTCTCCGCTGCGACTCAATTCGTCGTTTATGAGTTCCATCTTCAGTCACGAATGGATTGTCTGGGTCCAAGTGATTAACTTTTTTATTGGTGACCCGTTTCGTTATAGGTATGCAATTTTTAGTTAGTAAAACTTATTTTTATCGTAATTTATTCAAAATACATTTCCGAAATCCAAAAACAGTATAAAAGGTTCAAGCTTAACCCTAACTAGCCTCCTAAACTGAAAACATAAATAAAAACAAGTACTCGACGTCTACTTTATAATACTATACCAAATTGATATATTTGCATTTTGTTATAAGCAATTTTTAGTGAAATTTATTTTTATCGTAAGTAATTAATTCAAAATATATTTCCGACATCCGAAAACAGTGTAAAAGGTTCAAGCTTAACCCTGACAAGCCTCCTAAACTGAAAACATAATTAAAATTAAGTACCGGACGTCTACTTCATAGTACGAGACCAAATTCACATAATTATCAATTATCTCCTCAGTTTCAAGGCACTCCCCTTGCTGCCTCAGCCAGTATCGGAATCCTTGGCGTCGACATATCGAATAGCGTGCAGTTTCGTGGTCACTTGGAAGGGAAGGCCAAATTGGCCTCTAAAAAGCTTGGCGTGCTCAGCAGAGCGAGACAGTATTTCATGCCGGCACATCGCTTGCAACTTTACAAAGCGCAAGTTCGGCCCCACATGGAATACTGTTCTCATCTCTGGGCCGGGGCACCCCAGTGCCAGCTCCTTCCACTTGACCGCATCCAGCGCAGAGCGATTCGAATCGTCGACGACCTAGTTCTTTCCGATCGGCTCGATACACTGGCACTGCGTAGAGATGTTGCATCTCTTTGCGTATTTTATCGCATCTATCACGGGGAGTGCTCTGAGGAATTGTTCGGACTAATTCCAGCCGCTCAATTTCACCATCGCACGTCGCGACAAAACTCGCGTTACCATCCATACCATCTGGATGATTGGCGGTCCACCACTGTGCGATTTAGAAGAAGTTTTCTCCCTCGCACAACTTCTTTGTGGAATCAATTACCACCAGCGAATTTTCCGAACCGATACGACTTAGGAACCTTCAAGAAAAGAGCTTACACCTTTCTAAAAGGCCGGCAACGCATCTGCAATTCCCCTGGTGTTGCGGTTGTTCATGGGCGGCGGTAGTCACTTAACATCAGGTGAGCCGCATGCTCGTTTGCCCCCTATTCTATAAAAAAAAAAAAAAAAAAAAAATTGCATTTCGTTATACGCAATTTTTGGTGAAATTTGTTTTTATCGTAATTAATTCAAAACGCATTTCCGAGAACCATAAATAGTGTAATAGGTTCAAGCCTAACCCTGACAAGCCTCCTAAACTGAAAACATAATTAAAATCAAGTATCGGATGTCTATAGCTAACCCAACAAAAATATTAAAAACAATTTTCCTATATTTAGTATAGGAAAAGTGATTTTAATATATTTTATTTCGTATATTATATATACTTGCCGTGTAGTGGCGGTTAAGACTATCCACTACCCCATATCTTCCCGTGGGTGTCGAAAAAGGCGACAAAGGGAAACAGGCAGAAGATGGGCAGTAGCATCTTCCTGATAACAGCAAAAATACAATAAAAAAACTGCGGTTGCCAACCCGATCGCCAAGCGTGGCAACTATGGCAAATACCCCCCAAATGGATAAAGTTACTAAGAGACGGCCCCCAGTCCCCGGCGGCCCCGCTATTTCTGGCAACGGTGGCGACCATGGTAACGGCGGGGCAGGGGGTGCTAAGAATGTCCGGTGGAGGTTCGGTTGCCACCTACGACGACTCGACCTGGCAACATACAACGCACGCACCCTGAGGACTGACGAGAAGATTGTGGAGCTGGAAGAAGAGATAGACAAGGTACGCTGGCATATTATAGGATTATCCGAAGTCCGAAGAGAGGGGGAGAAAACGGTAATCCTCGAATCCGGCAACTTGCTCTATTACCGGGAGCGCGACCAGCTGTCCCAAAGAGGTGTCGGATTTATCGTCCACAAGTCTCTCGTTAACAACGTTGTAAAGATTGGGAGTGTGTCGACGAGGGTTGCGTACCTTATACTCAGAATCACCAAACGGTATTCGTTGAAGGTCATACAGGTTTAAGCACCAACCTCAGCACACCCCAATGAGGAGGTGGAGGAAATGTATGAGGATATCTCTAGAGCCATGCATTCGTCCATAACCCAATATACGGTGTTAATGGGAGACTTCAATGCAAAAGTAGGCACAAGAGAGAATGGTGAGCTGAAAGTAGGGAAATTTGGAATAGGGCAACAGAACCCAAGGGGCGAGCAGCTGGCCGACTTCATGGAGAAAGAGGGACTCTTTATGATGAACTCTTTCTTCCAGAAGCGGCCCCACAGGAAGTGGACCTGGTCGAGCCCCGACGGTTCCACAAAAAATGAGATTGACTTCATTATGACCACCAGACGACAACTGTTCAGTGATGTCTCAGTGATCGCGAGGGTGAAAACCGGCAGCGATCACCGAATGGCTAGAGGCACACTGAACCTAAACGTTAAGTTGGAGAGGTCTCGTCTAATGAAGTCAACGCTCCGTCCCCCTCATGCTCTAATCCCAAGTCCCGAAACCTTTCAGCTCGAGTTACAAAACCGTTTTCAGTGCCTAGAAGACTGCAATGAAGTGGACGATATGAATGACAAGCTCGTGGAAACAGTCCATGCGGTCGGAGCTAAGTTCTGCAAGACCCGCCGCAGAAGAACACAAAAACTCTCCGATCACACTCTCAGTCTCATGGCTGTTAGACGGGAGATGAAGCTACATTCTTCAACAGATTTGACAGCATATAGGCAACTGAACAGACAGATCTCCAAATACATGCGGCGGGACTTACGCAACTTCAATACAGCTCGTATTGAAGAAGCGATCGAGCGGAACCAAGGCTCCAGTCTTTGCCAGAGATCTGTCTGCCAGAAAGAGCCAACTGTCAAAGCTGAAGACAGAATGTGGCAACATCGTTTCCGAGGCACCTGAGATTTTGAGTGAGGTTGAGAGGTTCTATGGGCAGCTGTACACATCATCGTTGGAGCCACACGCGAGTGTAAGTAACGATCCAAGAGCGAGTCGGATAAGACTCGCTCTTGGATCGTTGGAGCGCATTATTCCGATGATATCCCGGATGTCAGTCTGAGCGAGATTAGAATGGCTCTCCAGCACCTTAAAAACGACAAGGCCCCAGGCGAGGATGGAATTACAGCGGAGCTTTTGAAAGCGGGTGGAAAACCGGTACTTGAATTTCTTCAGAAGCTCTTTAATTCCGTCCTCCATGGTGGCATTACACCGGAGGCGTGGAGCAGAAGTGCGGTGGTCTTGTTCTTCAAGAAAGGTGACAACGCGCTCTTGAAGAACTACAGACCGATTTCCCTTCTGAGCCGCGTCTACGTGCTGTTTTCGAGAGTCATTACGAATCGTCTCGCCCGCAGATTTGACGACTTCCAGCCTCCCGAACAAGCCGGTTTCCGAAAAGGCTTTAGCACCATAGACCACATACATACCCTTCGGCAAATTGTACAAAAGTCAGAGGAGTACAATTTGCCACTATGTCTGGCGTATGTGGACTATGAGAAAGCCTTTGATTCCGTCGAAATTTGAGCGGTGCTGCAGTCCCTTCAGCGGTGCCAAGTGGACTGTCGGTATATCGAAGTGCTGAAGTGCTTGTACAGTAGGGCTACGATGGCTATCCGAGTACAGAACCAGAGTACGAAACCTATCCAATTGCAGAGAGGTGTAAGACGGGGTGACGTCATATCCCCGAAACTCTTCGCCGCTGCATTGGAAGACGTCTTCAAGGTTCTGAACTGGAAAGGATACGGTATCAACATCAAAGGCGAGTACATCACTCACCTTCGATTTGCCGACGATATAGTCCTTATGGCAGAATCACTGGAGGACCTAAGCACTATGCTCAATGACCTCAATAGTGCTTCCCAACGGATAGGTCTTAAGATGAACATGGACAAAACAAAGATCATGTTTAATGTCCATGTCACACCTATGCCGGTAGTTGTTGGGAGCACTAAGCTTGAAGTTGTTGACGAGTATGTTTACCTGAGACAAATAGTCCGACTAGGTAAGTCCAACTTCGACCGAGAGGTCAATCGACGGATTCAACTCGGTTGGGCAGCGTTCGGGAAATTACGGTACTTTTCGTCAGGTTTACCTCAAAACTTGAAAACGAGACTGCACAACCACTGCGTGTTGCCAGTGATGACATACGGAACTGAGACGTGGTCCTTGACTACTGGCCGGATGAGAAAGCTCAAGGTCGCTCAGCGAGCTATGGGCTATGCTCGGAGTTTCTCTGCGTAATAAACTCAGAAATGAGGATATCCGCAGTAGAACCAGAGTGACCAAAATAGCCCAACGGATTAGTAAGCTGAAGTGGCAATGGGCCGGCCGTATAGCTCGAAGAACCGACAACCGATGGGGAAGAAAGGTTCTCGAGTGGCAGCCTCGTACCGGCAGGCGAAGTGTTGGGCGTCCCACCACTAGATGGAGTGACGACCTGGTAAGATATGCAGGAAGTCGATGGATGCAGGTGGCTCTGGACCGTGCTTTGGGACATTCCTTGGGGGAGGCCTATGTTCAGCAGTGGACTTGTGAAGGGCTGTAATGATGATGATGATGATGTGTGTAGGCTTCCAGCGCTTCATCGGGAAAAATGCCTCCACTAATTTATGAAATTACGGATTAGTAAGCTAGTGTAGCAATGGGCCGGTATTAGATAATATAAAATAATAATATAATTGTAAGTTATAATAACTATAATTTTCAGAAAAGAGCTCAAAGTTAAAGAGATCGAAATCCGAATTATTTAACGGAACACAGGTAAACATGATATTTAAGGTTTTAAAAAAAAATTAAAGTTATGAAATTAATAACATCTCCACACTTTTCCTTAGGATGAGTTGATGTCTGCGCATTGGTGGTCTTCACCTGATGAACGAGCAATAATCCGATTTCGAAACGGAAATACATATGAGGGAAATATCTCAATGAAATGCATGAATGGTGAAGGCTGCTTTAGATGGGCTGACGGAACCGAGTATTTGGTAAAAGACTGTTTTTACAGATGTAGTTAAATATTACGAATTGAGGTTGCCTATCGCCCTTATTCAGATGAATAACGCTCTTTTTTCGTGCGATCAGCTACGCAGGTCTAGAAAGACCAGTATCGCTGCGATCTATAAGAACTATTGTGATCGCTACTATGGCTACAGTTCACTGCTAAGCCTTCTATATGTCTTCTGTGAATTGAAGGAGTTGCTTAGCTATGAGCAATTTCTCTTCTAGTCTAAGTCCATAGTTTCCCAGGTGAGTGTTACGTTTGCGCATTAAGGGTCCACAATCAGTTAGGATGTGCAGAGGTGCTTCTGTCGTTAAGGAACATAATCGCCACATCCTTGAGTTGCTTAGTTCGAGGATGAACATGTGCTTATTTAGACAACACTGTCTAGGAAGAGCTCTTGCCAGAATAATGCAGTTTATTCTTACGTAATTCCAGGGCTTCTGAAGCGAATTTACGGAGAGCGATTTTTTTCATGAGCCCGGATTAAGGTTTTAGAATGTTTTAAGCCTGGTGTATCAGACCAGATCTTAAGTGATTTATTGTGATAAAAAGTTTCAAGGGTCAATCGGCTTTTTGAGATCCCACAAAATGACTCGGGGTCCAAATTGTGTACTCTGAGCCCTTCCGTGCGAGTTTGTCGGCATGTTCATTGCCTACAATACCCGCATTAAACGGAACCCACCTCAAAACGACCCTGTTGTTACAACCCAGGGTGTTCAGACGGTTTATTTTGCAGGTTGATTTCCGCACACTGAAATATGGCAAAAATGTCTGCCTGGACGATAGAGGCAAATTTCCCCAAATTCATACTTAGCTTGAATTTGGGTCACTCTCCATAGATTCCAAAACCTACGTCGAGGCCTATTTTGGCCCATCGGTATACCATATAAAGCTACCTCACTGATAACCTGTCCATTCCGCCAGTCTTCTCTCAGGTAGTTTTACTAGGTACTTTTATTATATATTTTATTAAATATTGTATATTGATTATATGTTATTAAAAGTGTATAGTGGACGCATGATATCTGAGATCATGCATAAAATCGGTGTTTCCTTCATTGAGACTAGCAGGGATCTCAATCTGTAGGAAAACTAGCTCAAATCGCCCTGGGTGTTAATCCTATACAAACTAGCCTTCGCCTCCTTGTTTAGATAAAGATCAAGGGGCTTTAGCCATAGACGTGCATTGAGAGTCAATGATCGCATCGCATTAAGTGTGTCGCATTAAGTGCATTAAGTTGCCATTAAATAGGCAGTCCTTTGCAGACTATTTAGCCTGTCCGCAGTCATTTTTTGATTGGCTTTATTACACCAAACAATGGAGGCGTTCGTAATAATCGGCCTCATCGGTGCTCATCATACAGGGATGCGTGCCCCAGTTGTTCCCAACCAAACGACTGCACGTACGTAAAGCATTTTTTGCCTTATGGCATACTTTACTACGGTGAGAGTTCCATGTTAGTTTTTAGTCGATTGTTACGCCCAAATACTTAACTTCAGTGGAGAATGGTACGTCTTTACCATTAATCATCGGTGTAACTAATTTGCCCAAGCATCTCTTTTTGGCAAAGGGTATAATGACAGTTGTATCAGCATTAACTGATAAACTGTTACCCTACGGCCCTACACTAGTTTTTCATGGTGTTTAAGGCTTTGACTGCACACACTGTGAAATATTTCATTGAAATCAGTTCAGTAGTTTAGGAGTTCATCGCGGGCAAACAATGTGACACGTAATTTTTATATATAAAGATAATAAGAACGTGACAACAAAAATAAAGATATAAACATGAGGTTTCTCTATATATAACAGGGACACTTTAAAGACAACGAAATAAATGGAAGGGGGTTAATTAAATGGAAAGATGATACTTGGTATGAGGGCGATTTTGTTGGAAACCTGCGTCAAGGAAACGGCTTGTATGTTGACTCTCGCATGCAACGTTCCTACATTGGACAGTGGTACAACGGGACGAAACATGGACAAGGAGTTATATACTACTCTGATTCATTCAAAAACTCGTACGATGGCCAATGGCTTCATGTAAGTTAAACCCTACCAAAAACATAAATGTGAAAAGGGGCTTCGCCGATAAAGTAGTTGAAATCTGGACGGGCGCCAAGCTTCTAAACAGTAGTTTAAATAATAGTTTCTATGGAAATGTACAACTTTCTCGAAACTGCCAAGGAGGTTGGCATTCCTACAGATCTTAACTCTATTATCGGCAAAGCCGACAACTCCACTCATCATTTGTACCGAACTTTGACCCTTTTTCACATTTATGATTTTGTATTGATTTAAATTTGCTTGGTCAGCAGTTTTCCACTCCTTGCACTGACAATATTGCAAATTCAACTACAACTTTCAATATTTTCCACTCCTTGATATATTAACATCTATTATAATACAGGTAGTAGGTATTCTAATTTTTATATATTCAATTCAAAGGGAAGATGTCCAAAACATACTTTTACCAAAAAGCAAAAATGCTTCGAGTTATTCCGAGTATTGTACCTATTTCAATAGGGTACTTAGTACTGTTTTTTTTAAAAAATGAAAAGGTTTTGTAAAAAGAAAAATAGACAAGAACTGTTGATTTCTATCCATAAAAATGCATTATAATTATAATTATAAATTTTATAATTCAATTTTAAGAATATTTTTTTAATCTGTGCCTCAAATGTCCAAAAAGCTATCCGCCTTATTAGATTCAGTCGTGACGTCACTTCGATAGTAAACAAGCTAATTTACTGTGTGTTACTTCGAAATTTTGTTCTGCTGAGTTGTGAAATGTTAAAACAACAATGTAAAAACCTATATAATAAATAAAGATACCATTTTTTGTTTATACAATAGCACAATACTAGGTCAGAGTGTTTTTTGATAATATATAGCACGTACGGGTATTTGAACGATCCACGCAGCCAAAAGTCAAATTTATAAAGGCTCGCCGAGTGCGTTCGGCCAACGTGTACTGGGCCGTTTTGTGTGTTTTCCGTGCACAAGTCAAAGAAATTTGGCGCAAGCCGCAAGTAGCGATCACACGTTGGCCGAGTGTTCAGTTCATAGTTACGCTTTACGGCTTAGTAAAATTATTTCACGAACATGGCGACATGGCCTAATGAGGAAATATTTAGGTTCATTGATTCTTATCACAATGAATCAGTTATATGGAACCCCAAACATGAGCAACATAAAAATAAGGCCGCGATCACTAACGTCCATCATCATGTAGCTACCAACGCAGAATGAAGCACGCCAACGTGTGAACGGCACCACATAAATCTGCCGAACGGGCTCGCCAAGCGCGCTCGACCAACCTGTATTGGAGCCTTAAAATGCAAACCAGTAAAAAAAACGACTACCTGGGATGCGGGACAGGTTAGAGAACAATATCCAACCCCTCCCGCCTTCTCACCGTGCATGCAACGCTTCCAAGGGCAGTTGGAATTTGATCGTCCCGCATGGTGTATGTGTTTGTTCTCGCGGCGTTCGTTTGCAACAAAGACTTCAACAGTGAATATTTGTTATTTTGTGTTTATTTTGGAAGAAAAAAGTTATGAATCCTGATAAAGCAGGTAATTATCTACTAATTTAAATATAATTTGGATAATTTATGTAATTGGAAAGATTCGTTTTAGTATATTGAAAGTCACGCGTAATATGGAATATTTTTTAGCTATAATTTGTGTTTTAAAAGGAATATGTTATACTACCAAGTTAGATCCTGTCATAATTCTCGATATAATCGAAAATTTAAAGCTTTGAGTACTAAAAAATCCAAAAATTTGCCGCGGAAAGTCGCGGCTAAGTACCTAATTTTTTTTAAGAAGACGTAAAAGTCTTTATTTATGTTAAGTGAATTTTTAAGCAAAATCTTTTTTGTTTTAGGTTCACAAAGAACATCGGGAGCAAGAACTGTGACCCGTAAATACTTGTTCGACCGTATGCAGAGCTTTAATTTGCCTAATTTGGAAGAAAAACTGACTTTCTTGAATGAGGAACTTCTGTACTCAAAAGAGCAAATTAAGACCTTTAAATCCACCTTTTCTCACTTTAAAAGCCAATTAAGACAAAGGTGGTAAAGGCTCATAAGAAGGAAGACGTGTTTCGCAAATACAATGATTCATGGCTTGAAGGAACTATTGACATTCCCGCTGTTGCACAAAATAGGCCAGGCCGCCCACGTAAGTTATTTGGAGATTCAAGTGAAAGAACAAAAAGGAGGAAAACTGAGGAGATTCGGTCTAGTGTAGAAGAAGACGTGATCGTTCATGCTGCTCAGATTGAGTTGCGGAAAAGTGGAAAACGAAATGCTTCCGATATATTAAAAGAAATCTCCAGTACTAGTCCGACACGTGCAACAAAATATAAGAGGGCATTTTCTGAAACAAGAAAAGAAGAAACTTGCCCTCTAACACCATTGCAAGCATTGGCAATGTTTGTAGAAGCTGATTTAACTCGTCGACAGTACGAATAGAAATACCAACAAAAAGTTCTTCCCTTGTTACAGCCTTTTACAAAAGACAAAACAAGAATGTTACCCACCGCCAGAGGCACGTAAAGTAACAAGTACCTGCGCTGAAAGCGACTTACAATCTTTGGTTGGTCTAACCGTAAGGTGCCTGTCAACCTCCATAGAAGAAGTCCTGATGACATTAAATGAGAAAGAACGAGATAGCCTAAAGATAATATGTAAATGGGGTTGTGACGGATCTCAGCAATCTAAGTACAAACAAAAATGTGAAAATGATGCTGACTCAGATGCTAATATATTTCAGAGCTGTTTCGTCCCTCTACGATTGGTTTGTGGCCAAGATGAAAAAAAGATTGTATGGGAAAACCCAACACCCTCTTCTCCACGATATTGCCGGCCAATCAGGTTCCGTTTCGTAAAAGAGAGTACCGACATAACGGAAGAAGAAATTAATTACGTCAAAAACTCTACTGATTCACTAAAGGCAACAGAGGTTGATTTAAATGGCGAAAAATTTTTAGTGAAACAATCATTCATCATGACAATGGTAGACGGTAAAGTCTGCAGTGCTGCCACAGGCACGAAATCCACAAGCCGGTGCTACATATGCGGTGCGACTTCTAAGGATTTCAACCGATTAGATGTTAAAAAAGGGATAAATCCTGAAGCTATCGAGTTTGGCTTTCGGTTCTACATGCGAGAGTTCGTCTTTTCGAAAGAATTCTCCACTTGGCGTATTAATTGCCTGTAAAAAAAATGTAAAGAGAGGAAAACAGAAGCCGAAAAAAAAATCGAAAATGAAAAGAGACTGGAAATTCAAGCTAGATTTCGAAAAGAAACTGGTTTGATAGTAGATTATCCAAAGGCAAATTTCGGCAATACTAATGACGGCAACACCAGCAGAAGATTTTTTGAAGATCCTCAGTTAGCTTCTGATATAACGGGCATTAGTCATGAACTAATATACATATTAAAAGTCATACTAGAAACGATTTCGAGTGGACATATAATCGATCCAGAAAAATACGACAAATATGCACTAGATACTGCTCGCTTATATGTCGATCTATACCCTTGGCACCCTATGACACGAACAATGCACAAAATCCTTATCTATGGTGCAATTATAATAAAAAATGCATTGTAACCCATTGGGCAGCTCTCCGAAGAGGCCGCGGAAGCGCTAATAAGCATTTCAGGTTATACCGCCAATACTTCGCTCGAAAATTTTCTAGAGAAAACTGCAACAGAGACATTTTTAACCGGCTTCTTTTGACTTCGGACCCTCTGTTAAGTAGCATGAGAAGTGTAAAAAGTAGAAAACTTAATTCTTTCTTGCCAGAAACAATTGCTCTACTTGTGCCTGCGAATCCGAATGAACCTGGTCATTCTTCAGAAAGCGAAGATGAACATTTGTCTGAAAAATTATAGATTTTTTGATGTTTTCTCTTTGTTTTGAATAAATACGTCTCGATTTAATATTAAAACCTTTATTTCATTTACTAATGTCGTTTAGAACCAATATCGACCATAAAATAATTTTGGCTGCGTAGATCGTTCAAATACCCGTATGTGCATAGTTATGTTTATCTATGATTACAATCTCACATATCCTAATTTTATTTTCGGGCCGGAAGGGAATCTTACGGGGATGACGAAGACATAGCACCTCAAGAGGCTGCAAAATACATGTATAGTTAAGGGTACAACATGCCCAGAACACAAAGTAATTCTCCATGCCATTTTACGGTTAAAACTACAATCTTTCCAGCCGATTATGACACCTTGAAGTTCTTAGGCGGTGCTGCACCTTTTTTATGTCATTACATGGACTCCTGCAATGACTCACGTTCATAGTGATGAACCCAAGTTTCATCCAAAGTCCTCACTATACATGTCCAAAAACTCGGACGAACACTCGACCCCCTACTGTTTCTTAAGCGATGTGAGCATTCTTGGCACCCATCTTGCACTGACATGCCAAGATGGTCATGGAGAAAGTTTAAAACGCTTGTAGATGATACTCTAGTCATTTCGGCGATGTGTTTTTTCTTCGGAGGACTATCTTTAAAAACAAGTTTTTCAACTTTTTCGACAATGTCTGAGGAAGTTCCTTCAATCGGATGATCGATACACTTATAAATCATTGTTTTTCCAGGACAAGAGTCCCCGTAAACAGATCATCAGACATCTCATATCATTTTTCCTTGCTTAGTAAGGAACTTAATCACGGAAACTCAATTCTCTCCATACTTAGTGTTCACTTTCCGATTGATTTGTTTATATCTCAAAGGTTAATAAGCCGAACTGGCTGAAACTTGGTATTTATAGTTGTAGATATTGAATCACCAAGTAGTAAAAGTTAAAAAAAATTGCTTTAGAGAGGGGACTCTCTAACCCATCCACTCCGCAAACTTTTTGATACGCCCTCGTACCATTTTTTTTAAATAATTACATTCCAGTAGGTTTACAAATGTTTAACAAGTTAAAAAAAAACACCACAAAGTAGCCTTAATAACACCGCATCTGTAAAAAAATCTTAACCTTTGCTTTTTTAGATACTTTTCTTACGTAATAACTAAATAGGTAGTGTATTACACTATGTGCAAATATACCACAATTAAAAATTTTGTACATAATTATTTAATGTTAAAGAAATAACTTATGTACACATGAGCTTGTATTAGAATGTACGACATGGATTTGGATCAAGAGAATACTGTCCTCTTAGTGGATATGAAGGAGAGTGGGATCTATACGTTAGAGAAGGAAAAGGCTTAATGATATGGCCGAATCATGATGTAAGTTTTATAATGACACATTTACCGTCAAAATAAAAATGTAAGTTTAAAAGAATAAATGGTCCGGTAAAAACAAATAATGTTTACAATAATATGAAAAAAAAATAGTTTTACAGAGGAGAGTGGAAAAATGGGGTTATGTCCGGTTATGGAACGTATATTTGGGATGCTTACTATAATGATTCCTTATCACAACCATCAATGATTCTATATCGTGGTCAGTGGATGAAAGGACAGCGTCACGGATGTGGCATGTTGAATTTGGGTATTGGAGCGCATTATACCGGAGAGTTTATCTGTAATCAGAAAAATGGTAAAGGGATGTTAGTTTCCAATAATGGTTTTATTCTACGAAGCAAACAATTGTTTCAAGATGATAACCTTGACGCGTCTGTACCGGAAGATAATGACAACTTGAAACGTGAACACGTTCAAGAACCATATAAATTTGACATAAGTAGTAACTCCGTGGACCTTTATTATCATATTCAACAGGCTATTAAAAATATAGAGAAACAACAAGGAAACCGTTTGTTGGTAGTTAATAAATTCATAGAGAATAATAAAACTTACACAAAAAGTTTTGTACCAGATGATAAAGAGATATCAATCGATCATATTTCCAATGATCTGATTTCTTTTGAGATAAGTTCATTACGAAAGTCATTGCAATATTATGAAAGTGATTTAAAAAGAATTTACTACAAATATTGTACAATATGCAACACGAATATAATAACGTTTACTCCGGTATTGATTCGCCTTTACTTATGGCAAATATATTATGATTGCGGCATTCATGAAAAAGGAGTTACGTTAGTGGAAATCGATAATATATTCTGCCAAAACCCAAAGTGGCTAGCTCATTCTCCACACGATCCATTCGAGCCAATATTCTTTTGGCAATTTCTTCACAGTTTTTTATCTGTTGCTAGTAAATTATACGCTAAAAAAGAATTACCGGGCGCAAAACCCGACACAATATTGGCAAACGCATTCAGAACATTTATGGAAAAAGATATATTGCCTGGAGTAAGGCAACAAAAAGGTAAAAACTTCAATCCAATATATTTTCTTAGTAAATTGTTAAAAATATCAAAATAATATAAGGTACTTAGCATTTTAGAAACAATTTTTATTTTTCCTAACTTTAGATGAGTAAGTCTTTAAATAAAGCCCTGGATACACTAGGGGACGTTTTGCCTCGCAACGTGACGCGGAACACTCAATTTACGTGACGATGCAACGTTGCACAGTGACCCGCAACATGGCCCGAAACATTTTACATGACGCGGGACATGTTGCTTGCTCCCGCTCCCAGAGCGAGCGCAGGTGTCCCACGTCAATGTCGCGCCATTTGTTACCGGGTGTAGTCGTGTGCGCAACGTGCCTTACAACATGTGAGTAGTGTGGGGAAACGAAACCGTGCTTTTACTTCTTGAGCTTTACCAGAGTCATGTTTTGTTGTGAGGGATGTCTTCAAATCACAAAGTTCTGGTACTATTCTGCCGATCAGTTGTTTCAACTCTCGAAAAATGTACGACAAGGAAACATAAGAATCTACAGTCGACAAGTATCTTAATGTAATGGCAAGTCTGATATGGGGGCCAACAGCTTTCCGTAGTATCTATTGTATCCTGTTTGGCTATGGACGATCCGATCATTTGTAATATAGTTTCAAAATCAGATGTTGACATTCCGGTAAAATTCACAAAAGATCCGTAAGACATTCGGAGACCACATAAAATATTATTTCTTCTTTCATCTCGTTGTAGTAAGAAATTCCGCATCCACCACCTTCTCTTTCGCTTATGTTTCACTCCCGATATAATTACTATGTACGCAGCACTAATCGCCGCAACCTCCTCGGGCGACATTTCTGTAAGTACTGCCTAGTGACATTCCACGTAGTTGTTGAGCGACTTGTTACGCAACATGGATAACGTTTTCATAAGATTATCATCTCAACTAATTTTTTTCATTACTCATATTTTAGGGCTACTTGTCAACGGTTACGGCGAATTTATTCCTTTAAAGAGTCTTTACAATTTATATCTAAGTTTGGGAGAACCGCACACTTTATTAACTTTCCTGCGTGCAGTACGTCTATCACCTCACGACGAAGAATATCCTCAACCACCTCTCGAGGAAACATCTGAAACAACAGATTTTCCTCTTGGACGCAATGTTAATATTTTCGGAGACGAAATAATGTATGTTTTAAGTGAGTAAACAAGGTACTATTTTGCATAATAGGTACATACTGTGATAATTTTAGGCATGAAAATAACGATCAATTTCTTTTGATTTTCTCCATAATTTGGAAAGAATAAGTTTAAAGAAACTACTTAGGGCCGACAAAAATGTTAAAATGAAAATACTATTTACTCAGATTTACAATCACAATTTGAATTCATTATCACATGGACATAACCGTGCAGCGGCGGTATAAAATACCTACTACCTATAGTGAAAAATAAACAAGGAGATGGGCAGATTTCTGATAACATCTAAATAATTTAAAAAATCAGTTGCCAATCCACCTGACAGCGTGGCAACTACGGCACGAAGAAGACAAACTATGAAGTACCCTAAGCCACTCTCAAATTTTGATATTGTGGAGTTTGAGTTTAAACTTAAGATTGTCTCTGGATACCGGTCCTAATCTCTTGGCTGTTAGAAGGGAAATGAAGCGAAGAAGCGATTGAATGGAACTTAAGTTACCAAAGTCGCGCCAGATATCTGTCTGTCTGAAAGAGTAACTGTTGCCTCAGATTTTTAGTGAGATTGAGAGTTGTACGAAAGCTGTACACATTATCATTGGAGCCATATACAAATGCAAGTAATGATCCAAATGCAAGTGTCATTCGACGCTATTACGATGATATGCCGGACGTCAATCTGAGCAAGATTAGAACGACTTTCTAGCACCTTATAAGGCCGGCCGTATACATACGGAATTCCGTTTCGTGATTCCGTTTCGGAATCCCGAATCGAGATTCCGTGAATACATCACACACACACGTTTTTTCTGTTCGGAATAACAAGGGTCAGTTGAGAGACGTTAGCCATTGATAGATATTCTGCCAGCGAATAATGACGACGATTTTCTAATTGCGATTACATTGTTGCTGTATCATTCTTACTATGTGCCTCCCCTTATCACCCTAAGCTTGCAATATAGTCAATACTATGTAAAAAGATCTATCTATCCTGAGATATTTTTTAAATATTAATGTCTGTAAATTCTTTCAACGAATTATTAAATAAAATAAGATGAAAGGTTACGAAAAGCTATACACCTACAAGATTAAATCTAAAAACATACATAAACACACCTACTCGCTCCGGTCGTGCGACGAACACTGAACGTGTTCCGTACGGAATTTACGTATGTGTGTTGCTCTCTCGTACTCGTACAAAATCTATGGAAGACTTGCGTTCGGAGCGGCTTTTTTCCGTTCGGGATTCCGAACGCACAGGCGGTCATATGGAATCTCGAATCGGAAAAATTCCGTACGGAAAAATACCGTACGTGTGTGACGGGTCATAGATTTTATGTGGACTTGCTGCGTTTGGGATGCCGAATCGGAATATCGAAACGGAATCCCGAAACGGAATTCCGTATGTATGTGACCGGTCTAATAAACGAGGATGGAATTATAGCGGATTTTCTGAGAGCGGGTGAAAAGCCGGTACCTATTTTAATTCTTTCAGATGCTTTTTAATGCCGACTTTCATTATGGCACTACTCCGGAGACTTGGAGCAGACGTGGGGGGTTTTGTTTTTCATGAAAGGCAACAAAGCTCCTTTGAAGAACTACGGACTGATTTCCCTTCTGATCCTGTTTAGTTGTTTTCGAGAGTCATTACAAATCGTCACGCCGGTTTCCAAAACCCTTTAGATATATCGTATTTCTGACAAACCCGCCCAAGTTCCGTTGAAATTTAGGCGGTGCTGCAGTCCCTTCAACGATGATGCCAAACCTCACATCATTTACTTAAAGCTTTCACTCTCTTATATTTGATTCCAGATTCTTACGACATAAATGCAAAACGGAAAAGTAGCGTTGAGAAATATAAAAAACTAAAGTTATTCAGTTTTGCGAATCTTTCCAGCAAGTCCATTATCACAATATTTTCATCAATATTCCCCCAAGTCATCGGGGGCAACAATATTTTGGATCTAGACATTGAAATTACATTCCTCGAATTTTTTGAAATATTTGTTGCATGCGCTATTAAAAGTGTTTGTGAAGACGAAAATTCTCAATTGCGGGAGGAGTTTTCATTGCAAGATTTTGGTATGAAGGCACCTCCGCAAAGTCCAAACTTTTATTAAATTAAAAAAAATATAATAATGCTTTTTAAATAATACTCAAATCATTTCATACGGCTCAATAATACCTATATAAGGAACTTTTTATGGAGTGAAGTAATTGCAACTAACATCTATTTGAAATAAAGTTTAATGAAAATCTGTTTCTTTTTTATTGCATCCTATTTCACTGTTAAGTTTTTGTTTTATATATTGTTCTAAGCGCGCTGGCTTATATTAACTACTATCCCGCTTGATGGTAAGTGGTGATGTAGCCTAAGATGGTGAAGCGCATTGACTTAACAAAAGCCTATTCACTCTTGTCCACTTGAAGACACCCACATTGTAATCGGATGGAAACACAGATGCTGGTAACTTATTCCATTCCTTTGCTGTGCGCATGATGAACCATGTAACAAACCGTTTGGTTCGAATGCGTTATAAGTCAACAACGAAAGGGTGGAGACTGGCCAAAAGTCTGGTTGTCCAATGGTGGAAGAGAGGGGAGGAATTAAATTATTCAATTCCTGCACATTACACACTCCGAAATGCATCTTGTACAAAACATAAAGTCTGGATACTTTGCGCCTGTGTTCGGGGCTGGTAAGATTGGTTTTAACGAAATCCTTCGGGTCACCAATAAGCCTCTTAGCACGCCTTTCCATTGAGTCCAAAACTGCTAGGTGGCATTTTGCAGCACCAGCTCATAGATGGCAGCAATACTCGTGGCACCACCGGACTTGCACTTTGTATACAGTGAGCAACTGTTCCGGTGTGAAGTATCTCAGCATTCATAGTAGACATGGGACGAGTACTCGGTTTGGATTCGGTGCTCGGCGGATTCGGCCTTTTTTTAGGGTTCGGCCGAGCACCGAGTATTAACGGCCGAGTACCGAGTACTCGGCCTTAATTATATTCCAGAGAAAAATAAAGACAAAAAGGCAGTTTTTATCATTATTATTATATTAGACACATTAAAACATCAGGAACATGAGAAGCAGCAGAAATATTTAGAACGTACATAAGAATCTATAATAGAAATTGTTATTACCAATATTTAAAATTTAAGACAGGAAGATTGTGATGCAAAAACACAAATTTTTCGACCTTATTTAGGTCTAGTTTTAAGGGAAATAACCGTACGCCGCCCGCTACCGCGTTTTTTTAAAGCCGAGTATACGGTAGAGTACTCGGCTCAATCTAGGCCGAGTACCCGGTGGCCGAGTTCTCGGCGAATCACTACTCGTTCCATGTCTAATTCATAGTACAAATAGACCCGAAAATAAACAATGTGCGTTTTTGCACAAACTTTGATACCGTGCAGCAACGTAAAAGTAATAAAGCAATCTATATAGATAGGTTATATAATGGTAGGGACAGACTAGTCCCACGTACGTGTTAGATAAATAATCATTATGCAATATTGCATAGCAATCTTCACAAACTTAAATGATATGCCTCATAATGTCACAAGTGTGAACCCTCAGCCCCTACCTTATGTTATGAGACCACCAGTTATTTCAAGTTTAACAACCAGCTCAAATGCTGTTTCTGTTGCTCCTACTGGAGGACAGATGTGGTCTAATAATATAACGGCAAATTTTAATGTTATACCAGAATTTGATCCTTGTGTTGATAGCCAAAGCATTGAATGGTGGATTCATAAAGTGAACGTGTGTACTAAAATATACTGGGATGATAGGCAAATATGTCATTTTGCGTTACCCAAGTTGACGGGCCTTGCTAAGAGGTGGTATCAGGGACTACCTTCCTTACTATTTACATAGGATGAATGGGTCAGTAAGCTGAGAACTACGTTTCTTTCCAATGAGAATTATGGAGATTTGCTTACGAAAATGTTAAAGATACGTTGTAGATTCGGTCAGTCCCTTGATGAATATTATTATGACGAAATTGCCTTACTAAATAAATGTGAAATTACCGGTAGAAAGGCTGTTAGATGCATAATACACGGTATTGATGATAAATTTATACGCATGGGTGCAAGTGCATGCATGTTCGAAGAACCCGAAAAACTATTTTCTTACTTAAGAGCGGCCAACCCGTCTAACTTTTCATACAAAAGCTTGTATGTGATTATGGCGTTGTAATAGATCTTTCTTTGAAAATTTTAATATATAATATAATTAATAGGTATTTTGTGCACTATATCTAGGTTCCTATCTAAACAAAAAATCTAAATTTGTAGAAACAAATTCAGTATAAGCCTCCAAAAATCTGCTTTTTTGCATAAATTTTACCTGAACTTTGGTCGTTCATAATGTACTCACTAATAGTAAAAGTAAAGAAATTATTTTATAGAAACCTCGCCAATGTAATGGAGACTGACTAAATGACAAAAATTTATTTCACAAACTTGTGGGTTACTGAAAAACACGTATTTCCTGGAACAAGTTTTATGAAATTCCCGCACACTATTTTTCGTTCAATAATATCGCGTTCTCACTTGCTTATTATCCAAGTGGCGGTAAGAAGTATGCGGGGGACAAGTCGTGCGGGGTAGGGGCGGGGTGAGACGGGGGAGTTGAATGACGAGCGCTGGTGGCGCACGCGTTCCGCTCTCTGGCCTCTCGGAATTGTTAGTAGGTATTCAATTTGTTGCCTGCGCTTCGTCAACGTGCCGTTGCATTTTATATTTAGTGACATCTGTTTTACCTACTACAACGATCTTTTTTTTTTATACCGGACACTGATTTTGCTAGCGAAGGTTTAGCTATTTTATTATGTGAAACGAACCTGGCATTTGTGAATACGGACACAGACTTTGTTTGGATAAGGATTTTGAAGCAGATCGATTTTATTACTATTGAGAATGAGAATATTACTATTGTTATTAGATAATAATATGTTTTTTTACTAAATTTTCAATCACTTCTGACAGTAAACTCTTTGTGTTCGGAAATCGGAATCGTCTCGACAACCGGGTTGTTTTATGTATTGTTCATAAAGTGTAACAAAGTTCTTTAGAATAAAAATATATATTTATACCCAACTCTATTTAGACTACTTTATTTGTGATCAACCACCTATACTACGGTACAAATTAGTACCTAAACAACATTTGGAGACATTTACATACGGTACAAGTAGGTACGTTACCTAATTTCAGCTTCCTAAATACAAACGGCCTAGACAGGTAAAGAGATTATTCTGTTTATACCGCTACTCCATAAGCAGAATAAATTATTTACCTTTACATTTTCGTGCTCTGTTTAGGTATAACATGGACGAACAATATAAGTTGGATGGAACACCCTGCTAAAACAAAACTGAGTCCAGTTTATGTCTGAGTATTGATGTTTGCGCGTGTAACGGCCGACTAATATGTTGTGAATGTTTGCGTGCCGGGCTTGAACGCACGACGACAAATCAAGGTATATAAACCAGTTTATGCGGTACTCTAATTGAAACAAAGCGAGGCCATGTTATACTGGAAATGTATAGCTTGATGTGTCGCCGAGTGTACTTACACATACGAGTTGGCCGACTCTGAGTGACAGTTATTTTTATTTGCGACATATTATTTTTTACATGGAAAATTATTTATAACATTATAAAATTATTTATAACATAAATAATTTCTTTAATATATTATATTTATAATTATAACATAAATAATTTCCATGTCAAAAATAGTTCACGTACGATACCTAGTTTGGTAAAAAACAACACACACATATCTCCGAGGCCAAGTGGCACGTCTATACTAGACAAAGAGTAATATAATAAAATAATATGGTACCTACTAAATGTAGGCATGCAGAGAAATTTACAAAACTATAGCTATGCGCCATAGTAGCGAGCCCGTAAGTTACCGAATGCCAACCGAACGCTCAGGCGCTGTCTTTCTCTTTTCGCTTTGCCTCTTTTTCTAACATTGCGCTGGATGAAACAACAAGCTTTTTAACCATGCTCGCGTTGACGATAGACGGGCCGGGAAGGGCCCTCTTAAGGACAATTGCTCATAGCACGACCCACTTGCAAAAGGTAAAATTATCAGAAACACCACAGTCACGGATTAGTAAAGGTACAAACGCAACTGACCCAATGAGAGGCTCTGAAGGCATACGCTGTTTTAATTGTGGCGATGCTGGTCATATCAGCGTAAAATCTCCAAAGCCTCTTAAAAAATGTTGTTTTTGCTATCGATTGGGCCACATAACCAGGGATTGTCGCAAGCGACCTTCTATCTCCAGTACCTCAACTTATGTAGGTAAGCAAATTGAACAATTGGATCAAACAGGAACGAACAATAAAGTACTTTGTATTTATCATCAAGTTTTATAAGACTATAAAGATTAATGGCGTCAGAAGGTCCTCCTACATAGATTTAGGGAGTAGTTGTTCTTTGATCTGGGAATCTGATGCTAAGGATATACTGACTGAATGGGAGGTCCCGTCTAATTTACCTAATTTACATGGCTTCGGCAATACCGTCGTTAAGGCCTTAGGATTTAAAAAAGCTATGGTCGAGATTGATGGAGTGGCTGCGGAAGTCGATCTGATAGTAGTCTCTGATCATTTCATGCACGTACCGGTTATCATAGGCCACACTTATACTAAAAAACCAAACATAATAATGTACAAATCTAGCAGTGAGTTAATATTCACTAGTATCCCTAGTCAGGAATGTTGCAATGAAATGATCAAAATATAGGATATGTTCCAATACAAATTCATTAATAAATAGTTGTACTACGTCTCCAACTTCTGTTCATACTGAGCCGAATTCTACAGGTGGTTTCTTTGTTGTGGTTGGACATCGACTAATTTTAAATGATGAGTTCATGATGCTTCCAGGTTTATACAAATTTACTGCTGGTCACGGCTACCTAATGGTTACAAATATTAGTAAAAATATGACATCAATAAAAGAAAATACCGTTATAGCCAGAGGGTGAGTCCACAATGAAACAAATGACCAATACATTGGTTTAACAGATGTTGCCAACAACCATGAGCCTCTACCAATCGATAAAGTTAAAATCGGAACTTTATTGAGCGTTTCCGAGTTTAGTGAATTCCAGGTCCTTATTTCTAAATATAGAGATTGTTTTGCCGTCAATTTATCGGAATTAGGTGAAACTAATCTGACTCAGATGAACATTAAGCATGATGACACTCCAGTTGTGTATCATCCTTACCGGATGTCGATCAAAGAACGAGAGCATTTAACAATTATTGTAGAAGATCTATTACGGCACGGTATAATAAGTGAAAGCAATTCATGTTACGCAAGTCCAGTGATTCTAGTTAATAAGAAAAGCGGTGAGAAACGCCTTTGCATCGATTATCGTGCGCTCAACCGAAAAACTTTAAGAGATAAATATCCCTTGCCGGGGATTGAATACCAATTGGATTGTCTGGGAGGTAACAGCTATTTCACAAGCTTGGATTTAGCATTTGGTTATTATCAGATCCCCATGGTTGAAGATAGCAAACACTTAACTCACTCCTGACAGTCTTTTCGAATATAACCGAATGCCGTTTGGACTGGCCAACGCACCAAGTGTGTTTCAGCGAGCTTATTAACACAATGCTTCGGGGATCTGGTGGACGCCTGGGCCTCGTCTACATGGATGATTTGTTCATAGCTTCTAAAACCATAAAAGAGGGCACAGAAAAATTAGAGAAGGTACTTCAACTTCTGCGTAATGCAAAACTTACTTTGAAGCTTGAAAAATGTCAATTTTTCCAAACGCAAATAAACTATTTAGGTTATAAAATATCGTCGGAAGGTATACGCCCAGGTAAACTAAAAATTGAAGCTGTGGCAAATTTCCCAGAACCCAAAAATGTACACGAGGTTCGTCAATTTGTAGGACTTTCGAGACTTCCGGCGCTTTCTCAGGAATTTTTCAGTGATTGCAAGACCGTTGACAAACCTCACGAAACTTTTTTCGTGAGGTTTGTCAACGGTCTTGACGTTAGCTGGCGTTTTGGAGAAGAAGAAAGGGATGCGTTTAATAAGTTAAAAGAGAAACTCGTAAGTCGTCCCTTACTGGCATTGTATGACCCAACAGCACCTGTGGAAGTCCACACAGATACCAGCAAACTGAGAATTGGTGCAATTCTCATGCAGAGGCACAATGATGCGGTACACCCAGTAGCATATTATAGTCGTCAGAATTCACCTGAGGAACAGAGATTTCAGTCTTATGAATTAGAAACTCTCGCACTAGTCACGGCATTGCAGAAATTTCGTGTTTGTCTGTTAGGCACGAATTTCAAAGCAGTAACTGATTGTAGCGCTATTCGGAACACTATAAATAAACGAGATCTAGTGCCACGTGTTGCGAGATGGTGGATATCTATGCAGGAATACGATTTCACAATCGAATACAGACCCGGTAATAAAATGGCTCACGTGGACGCATTAAGCCGGAATCCTATTAGAACTGATGTGCACAATAATGAAAACAGAATTGACGTACTCTTCGTAAATAATGATGATTGGTTGGAAACAATACAATCCTCAGATTCAGAACTGCAGCGTATAGTAAAAATATTGCAAGATCCTGAAAGTGAGCATGTTGTTGAAATTAAGAATAAATTTTACATTAAAAAATGGCAAGCTTTATAGAATCGTCAAAAAGAACGATACCGTAACGTTACTCTGGGTAGTTCCTAAATCTGTAAGATGGCAAATACTAAAAATGAATCATGGCAATAACGGTCATTTTGGGTTTAAAAAGACGTAGAAGTAAGTAAGTAAGAAAGAAATACGAACGTATCAAAAGGATCTACTGGTTTAAAAATATGAGAAAGTTTACTAAAAAATATTGCAAGGCTTGTCTAGAATGTGCTCATAATAAAATTCCAGCCGGACCAAGGGAAGGAATGCTTCATCCTATTGAAAAGGTAAGTAAACCATTTGACACCATACATGCAGATCATTGCGGGCCATTCCCGTTAAGCAAAAAGAGGAATCAATATATACTGGCAATCATTGATTCTTTCACAAAATATATATATCTTAAGGCTGTCCGTGATTGTAGGAGTAAGACGAGTATCCAAATTTTTGAAGAATACTTTGCATTATTCGGGGTGCCGTGGCGGTTAATTACAGATCGCGGTACCAGCTTCACTAGTAATGAATTTAGCAAATTTGTAGTGGAGAAAGGTATGAAACACATATTAAATGCGGTCGCTACACCTCGAGCAAACGGCCATATAATAAAACTCTCGTAGTGTCGCTCGCTTCTGCTTATCATGGACATCCTAAAAATGAATGAGATACCGTATTGTCTAAAGTACAATGGTCATTAAACAACACAATTAACAAAGGCACTGGGAAAACTCCTGATGAGACTTCATTTGGGGTGGTTTCTACGGGAAGTTGCGATAGCGTTATGAACAGTGTAGTTGCTGAATCTCAGCAACTTCAAAACCGAGATGAAATTAGCAACGACGTTGAACAACGAATCTCTTCTGAACAACTGGAACAAAAGGACAGATTTGATAAAACGAGAAAAGAAGCTACGCAATATAAAATAGGAGATCTTGTTCGTATAGAGAAAGACGTGTATATGGCGCCGGGCCAGGCCAGAAAGTTGGTTCCGAAATGTTCCGGCTTGCCGTGTAGTGGCGGTTAAAAATATCCACTACCCCATATCTTCCCGTGGGTGTCGTAAAAGGCGACAAAAGGGAACAGGCAGGAGATGGGCAGCAGCATCTTCCTGATAACAGCAAAAATTAGAATAAAAAAACTGCGGTTGCCAACCCTCTCGCCAGTCCCCGGCAGCCCCGCTATTCCTGGCTACGGTGGCGACCGTGGTAACGGCGGGGCAGGGGGTGCTAAGAATCTTCGGTGGAGGTTCGGTTGCCACCTAAGACGACTCGACCTGGCAACATACAACGCACGCACCCTGAGGACTGACGAGAAGATCGTGGAGCTGGAAGAAGAGATAGACAAGTTACGCTGGCATATTATAGGATTATCCGAAGTCCGAAAAGAGGGGGAGGACATGGAAATCCTCGAATCCGGCAACTTGCTCTATCACCGGGAGGGCGACCATCTGTCCCAAGGAGGTGTCGGATTTATCGTCCACAAGTCTCTCGTTAACAACGTTGTAAAGATTGAGAGTGTGTCGACGAGGGTTGCGTACCTTATACTCAGAATCACCAAACGATATTCGCTGAAGGTCATACAGGTTTACGCACCAACCTCGGAACACCCCGATGAGGAGGTGGAGGAAATGTATGAGGATATCTCTAGAGCCATGCATTCCTCCAAACCCCACTATACGGTGTTAATGGGAGACTTCAACGCAAAACTAGGCACAAAAGAGAACGGTGAGCTGAAAATAGGGAAATTTGGAATAGGGCAACGGAACCCAAGGGGCCAGCAGCTGGCCGACTTCATGGAGAAAGAGGGACTCTTATGATGAACTCTTTCTTCCAGAAGCGGTCCCAATGGAAGCGGACTTGGTCGAGCCCCGACGGTTCCACAAAAAATGAGATTGACTTCATTATGACGACCAGATGACAATTGTTCAGTGATGTCTCCGTGATCGCGAGGGTGAAAACTGGTAGCGATCACCGAATGGTTAGAGGCACACTGAACCTAAACGTTAACTTAAGGAGAGGTCTTGTCTAATGAAGTCAACGCTCCGTCCTCCTCGTGCTCTGTTCCAAAGTCCCGAAACCTTTCAGCTCGAGTTACAAAACCGTTTTCAGTGCCTAGAAGACTGCAATGAAGTGGACGATATGAATGACAAGCTCGTGGAAAGTGTCCATGCGGTCAGAGCTAAGTTCTGCAAGACCCGTCGTAGACGAACACAAAAACTCTCCGATCACACTCTCAGTCTCATGGCTGTTAGACGGGAGATGAAGCTACATTCTTCAACAGATTTGACAGCATACAGGCAACTGAACAGACAGATCTCCAAATGCATGCGGCGGGACTTACGCAACTTCAATACAGCTTATATTGAAGAAGCGATCGAGCGAAACCAAGGCTCCAAAGTCTTTGTCAGAGATCTGTTTGCCAGAAAGAGCCAACTGTCGAAGCTGAAGACCGAATGTGGCAGCATCGTTTCCGGGGCACCTGAGATTTTGAGTGAGATTAAGAGGTTCTATGGGCAGCTGTACACGTCATCGTTGGAGCCACACGCAAGTGTGAGTAACGATCCAAGAGCGAGTCTTATCCGACACTATTCCGAAGATATCCCGGACGTCAGTCTGAGCGAGATTAGAATGGCTCTCCAGCACCTTAAAAACAGCAAGGCCCCTGTCGAGGATGGAATTACAGCGGAGCTTCTGAAAGCAGGTGGAAGACCGGTACTTGAAATCCTTCAGAAGCTCTTTAATTCCGTCCTCCATGGTGGCGTTACACCGGAGGCGTGGAGCAGAAGTGCGGTGGTCTTGTTCTTCAAGAAAGGTGACAACGCTCTATTGAAGAACTACAGACCGATTTCCCTTCTGAGTCGCGTCTACGTGCTGATTTCGAGAGTCATTACGAATCGTCTCGCGCGCAGACTTGACGACTTCCAGCCTCCTGAGCAAGCCGGTTTCCGAAAAGGCTTTAGCACCATAGACCACATACATACCCTTCGGCAAATTGTACAAAAGTCAGAGGAGTACAATTTGCGACTATGTCTGGCGTATGTGGATTATGAGAAAACCTTTGATTCCGTCGAAATTTGGGCGGTGCTGCAGTCCCTTCAGCGGTACCAAGTGGACTGTCGGTATATCGAAGTGCTGAAGTGCTTGTACAGTAGGGCTACGATGGCTATCCGAGTACAGAACCAGAGTACGAAACCTATCCGATTGCAGAGAGGTGTAAGACGGGGTGACGATATATCCCCGAAACTCTTCACTGCTGCATTGGAAGACGTTTTCAAGCTTCTGGACTGGAAAGGATACGGTATTAACATCAATGGCGAGTACATCACCCACCTTCGATTTGCCGACGATATAGTCCTTATGGCAGAATCGCTGGAGGATCTAAGCACCATGCTCAATGACCTCAATAGTGTCTCCCAACGGATAGGTCTTAAGATGAACATGGACAAAACAAAGATCATGTTCAATGTCCATGTCACACCTATGCCGGTAGTTGTTGGGAGCACTAAGCTCGAAGTTGTTGACGAGTATGTTTACCTGGGATAAATAGTCCGACTAGGTAAGTCCAACTTCGACCGAGAGGTCAATCGACGGATTCAACTCGGCTGGGCAGAGTTCGGGAAACTACGACACATCTTCTCATCAGACATTCCTCAAAACCTTAAAACGAAATTGTACAACCAGTGAGTGTTGCCAGTGATGACTTACGGATCTGAGACGTGGTCCTTCACTGCTGGCCGTATGAGGAAGCTCAAGATCGCTCAGCGAGCTATGGAGAGGGCTATGCTCGGAGTTTCTCTGTGTGATAAACTTAGAAATGAGGATATCCGTAGTCAGTATCATCCGTATCCGTAGGATATCAGTAGAACCAGAGTGACTGACATAGCCCAACGGATTAGTAATTTGAAGTGGCAGTGGGCCGGCCATAGGGCGACCCCCCACGAGATGGAGTGACGACCTGGTAAGACATGCAGGAAGTCAATGGATGCAGGTGGCTCAGGACCGTGCTTTGTGGCATTCCTTGGGGTAGGCCTATGTTCAGCAGTGGACTTGTGAAAGGCTGTAATGGTGATGATAGTTGTATAGGTATTTATGCTATGTACATATCATTGTTAAATGCAATATCGTGGTTGGGCGCGATGTCTGGCCATTATTTTCAGATTTTCAAGTAATTTACTAGTGCAGGGTAAAAAAGTAACAACTCTGTTACCATCACATATTTATTCGTAGTTAAACAAGAAACAATTATTTTTAGAAACATTCTTTGTTATCAACATTAATTAAGTCTTTACTCTCGTGTTCAACATGCAAAATTACAATAGTTCTGCTTAAGTATGAACAGTAATTAAAGTTAAAATACTCTGTTACTTCCTTTGTTTTAAAAAACAATTTTTTTCTATAAACTATCTAAATTGAATTAAATTATTAAAATATAACGATGCTATTGTGTATAAATGAGAATATTAACTAATTAATAAACAATTTATAGAGTCAGGTGTTAGCTTTTCATAAAATTCGAGACTTTACTCTTATACATATATTTAGGGACACAAAAGTAACAAAGTTGTAGGAACAGTAATATTACTGTATTATTTGCAACAAATTTATGAACTACTATCACAAAAAAAAAATATTTTTGGCTACATGTTTTAACAAATTTAGTAACTTAACTAAATTATAAAACTTAAGGGAAAAAAAGCTAAAACTCTTATTGAGATCAAATTAAACCTAAGCTGACAACTTATTTCTCAAATATATCTAGTGGAGTAGGGAACTGGTAATATACCCTGTTGCCTTTATTTACTTTTCAGGTTCTGTAACAACTCTTATTAAACTCTCATATTGTTCATATGATATATCATTTTTTCATTTTCTTTACAAATTAGTTAATTTGTATGTTTTTCCGGTATCGTCAACAGACTTTAAGAAGACAATTTTTACTTCGCCATCATCGTCTACTTCACTTAATGCTTTGTCGAGATAAACGTACTCATTTTAGAACTGCAAATTTTAACT